TGTTTGCCCATTTCTGAGGGAAATAAATGCCTTCTCTCTGATGGCAAATCCCAACCCGCTGCAGCCCGGCTGCAGGTGAGAAAGCAAACGCCACGTGCAGGAGTCTCTGCACCGGCGGGATCAGGGAGTTGTGACATGGGTGGCGCAGCCGCTGTCGCGGCATGTGTGATGAGCTCCATTGCACAGAAACAAGCTCTGGAGGTTATAAGTACTGACGTCTGGAGCCCCTATTGCCCCAGTAGGCAGGAGAGTTAAAAGTACTAATGGAAATGTATATAACCAGTTCATGTTCACAAACGGTTGAACAAAAACACTAACCCAGCTAAAATGCATCTCTATAGGAGCCCTGTGAAATGAGTAAGGAGCGTGCCCCCACCTCCCCCTTCATTTTACAGAAGGGGAAGCTTGATGTAAAAAAAATAAAACCCAAAAACCTTGGACTGAAACCCCCAAGTTCCTGGACTGGAGCCTAAAGTTCAAGCCACTAGACCAAGGCTTCCCAAACTTGTAATTGTTTTTCTCTCCCATAATGGGTACCGCACCCAAGCAGCCTGTCTCCTTAGATAGCCTCCCCTCCCATTCATGATCGCATAACGTCCCCAGGGCAATCACTGCAGTGGCTCACGCGGAAAAGCAACATGAGGAAAGTATTTAACGTATGTTTACTTTTTTTAATAAAACGTAGCAGCTGGAATCAAAGAAAAGCCATCCGCACCACGTGATCGCACTGCTCTCCGCAGACCACTGTTCGAATCCCCAGTGGTCCAGGCACCACACTTTGACGAATGATGCAAGCGCCTATACTGCCTAATTAGCAGAACAGTATAAGGCTAGAGAACAGGCATATCTTCTTCCTCCCTAAGTGGCCACTGAATAAACACTCTATCCCCAGTTCACAGCCCCTTTTACATTACTGGCATCACCGGTCCTTTGTGTACCCACATGCTGTTACTTAAATTGCTTCCATGTTTTCATTACTCGCCCTCTGTGCTATGTGTATTGAAACTCCTGCAAGCATACTGAAGAGGTATTTGGAAGCACTGGGGACTACTGGAGATGTGGCTTAAATTATTATGCAACAAACCTAAGTGATTTTTCAAGTCCTAATAGAGTTAGCTCCTCCTTAGGGGGAAAACACAAATCCAAACATTACTCCTCTAGGTGTAAAACAGCCATTTCTACTGCTGATACATGAGCCCGTAGCTCACGTTAAGGGTTATGAGCAGCCCTCCACCCATGTAAGTCTCAGTGGGAGTTCAAGGCGACATGTAGCCCTGAATATATAACTTGGGTGGTAAACTGGAATAATGCTACTGCTCTCCTTCCCAAAAAACCCCCCAAATATATTGGGCCAAGCACTGAGCTGGCAAAAATCCAACGGAGACATGCCAGTTGAAGATTTGGCCCACTGGCTCAGTGTAGTGGTCCCAATTGCTGCAGTTCTTCCCATTTGATAATCCTCTTGGGTGTACGTTTATTAAAGCAATGAGACAGGAAACCAATATCATTTTGAAGAGAGAAATGCCATTTAAGCAGCGCAAGTCTTGGGATGATTGAAACAAGAGAGCACACGGTCTCTGTGTCTCGTACATAAATGGGGCTGATGATATTGTCTGCAAGCAAAGGCAAAAACTACCTCTGTGTCCTCTTCTACATGGGGAAAACCTTCAGCAGGACTAGGCCACCCCAGCCCTGGTGCAGTTCAAGTTTCGACTTGCAGAGTTTTCTCCTAGCCTCATGCTAACTGTATCTTTAAAAAAAATATCTGTGCAGACACCGTGACACGCCGCTCGGCCAAGAAAGCAACCACATGATTTAACAGTTGGAACCTTTGTCCTGCCTTTTTCCTACCTGTCTCTTGAAGTATCTGTCTTCAACTCCTGTTGCAACTCGCCTGAATTATTTAGGTAAGGGCCTGATTCTGCAACCCTTTTCATGAGCCGCCTTTAATCTTGTGGGAAATCTTGCTGGCTAAGCTCAAGCCTCCTTAGACTGCACATCGCTTAGGGTCAGGGGACTTGCTTTGACTGTAAAAATCCTCATTGTCCCCCTTCGAATGCCCACAAGATGCTCGACAATGCTTCGGCAGCTGGTGTGTTGTGGCCGTTGCTCATTATGCTAATCATAATCATCTCATTGTTACCTTGTGCTCCCCGTCTGTTTACTGAAGTCACCTGTTGTCTTTGGTCATTTATTTCAATTCCGCCTGCCTCTTGCATGTCTTTTCCCAGGGGTGTGTGCATGCGTGTTTGTTCACATGTGTATGCGTGTATGCACACTGCCTAACCCGAAGGGGCTCTGATCCCAGATGGAGACCTCCAGTGCCACAATATAGATATAAGTGATAAATGCTTAATGTAGCCAAGTTACAGCTGCTGAGATTTGTATCTCCTGCCCTCTAGGCAATTAACATCTCTTCATTAATATTGCGAGTGATGGGTGGGGAGGGTTGCATATAGTTTCTCTGTATTTTGCTTGTGTGAGAGCTTTTCCTGGCTGGCTATAAAAACAAACTCATTACAATGCTCATATGTTCAACTGGGAATTAAAGTCTTATGAAAACCCGAGCACCCTAGGGCATCCAAGTGCACTCAGACTCATCCCTGGAAATTACTGGGCAGGACGTGTGTGCCAATCAGTACATTTCCACAACCATACACTTCTACATAGGCAATGCGTAGGGAGGAGATGGGGGGGGCACATGCCCCGAGATTGGCCGTCACCAGTGCTGCCACCGGCTTCTGTGGGCGGTCGTTGCTTGCCACCCACCCCCCTGCTGCCAAAGCTGCCGTCGGCTTCTGCAGGTGGTCGCTGCTCGCCACCCGCCAGCCCCCACCACCGACACCACCGCCGGTGTCTATGGGCAGTCCCCAGTCGCCGCCACCAACACCAATGCCGGCAGTTGTGGACGGTGCCTGCTCGCTGCCATGGTGCCCCCCCACTCTCAGGAGGCACCAGTCATTCATGCACTTCTGTAACTCTAGACATGCAGTTACTGAGGGCCAGATTGCAATTTAGGTTGAATATTATCTTATGCAAGTCGCTCTGTTGGAATCAATGGAATTATTTGGGTATTAGGGTATTACTCAGTGTTATTAAGAGGATCATGATCTGGGCCTGAGCTTCTAAGCTAATGAACAGATAGCCAGATACCTGGAAAACCACATCACAATGTACGGTTGGGTCAAATAAATCCCTGGCACCATTCCACTGAGCTAAAAATAAAACACACGATATGTTAATCACAAGGAGTCAGAGAAACCCTTGGCTTTGGTTTCCATGAGTTCAGACCCCCTAAGATTCACCTTCAGTTTGCAGTGAGGAAGGGCCGTTTGTGCCTGAACGCTTGTCTCACTTCTCTACCAACTACACAGCTAGGCCAATAACAGATGCCACAAACAAATCCTCTCCTCTTATATACTTCCTGGACCATTGTGGATACAACATTCAACACCTTCCTGTGAAGCGTGGCTGAAATGGTTGTTTTGAACCTGCAGATCAAATTCATCTGTGAAGCTCAATTCAGTGGCAAATTTATCCCTGTGCATTGCACATGCCTTGGGGCACTAATCTGTCCAGGCCTGCTCACAGGTTTCATGACTACTGGTGATTCTTTCACTGAATGGGGTCAAAGACTTGAACACCCCAGGAAGTCTGTACACTGCCAATGTGTAGAAGATGAGGATTTATTCCCATTGCAGGAGAACACAGAAGCCTCAATCAGAACCAGAGCTCCATTTGCTAGGTATTGCACAGACACCTCATAAATAAAGGGCCCTGACTCAAAGATAGCCTGCACTGCTTAAAATTCAAACAAAATTGCTTCAAATGTGCCCAGAAAAGCACTTGTGTTCGCTGACGACTGAGCACCCAACAAGTTACTGAAAACCAAACCAAACACATTGCCTGAAACGTGTCTGATAAAGGAAAAGATGAGTTTCCCTTCTAATCCTTTTCTCCTGCTGAAGCACACTTGGCAAAGCCAAAAGAAAGCATCCATGTTCCCCAATTTAAAGAAGAAATTTCAGCCCAAAAGGATATTTCAAGAAAATGATAAGCACCTGGAAGAAAATGAGGCTTATAATGGAAGTATTTTCTCAACTATAAATATAGTGTTGCTAGCACAACGCTGTAATCAAGAGTAACGGAGCCCTTAGCCTGGTATATGGGAACGAATTCAATTGGTCTCAGTGCACATACCTGTATTTTAAAAGGCAGTCCAAAGCTTAACAGTCCAAAGGGTTGAGCATTTGTGTTCAGATGCACCACGGTTGAAAATGGGGCACATCATTTAATGTAATTATTCATCTTTCACTGAGATCACATACAAAACAGAAAAATCCCAAGAAGGTCTGGTAAGCTTTTGACTCCTTTCAGCACAGGTTAACACGAAGGCTTATTCCTGATCATGGGGAGGCCGGACTGTCCTGAGTTTGTACTGGCTGCTTTGTTAACCAAGCAGGACTTTGCAAATTGATGCCTTTTGTTCTGAGACAGTGTACTTCCATAGCCTGTCCTCAGCCGCCAGAAGAGCAACTGGTCCATAGCTGCATGAACTCATGCAAACTAGACAGCCCCTTCATGGGAGTCTTCAGCACCGCAGACCCTTCTCACCCACAAAAAGTATAGATAGAAAAGCCCGTCACATCCCATCCTGTTTTAGCAACAAGGATGGTCACCGTTATTTCTGCAAAAGCAAAGTCCTAGCAGCCAGGCCCCAGTTGTGCCCTCCGAGGCATGCAGCTGGCTCCCAGCCCCATTCCCAAGACAGCCATGGGTCCACACCATCGTTGCTGGGAGTTGTGCGCATACACCCGTGGGCAGAATTTGTTCCTCATTGTTTAGGATGTCTGATCACATTACCTCACTTGTCACATTGAGCTCAGTCTTGTGTTAAAAACATGCAGAGAGTAGGGAACCAGCTCAGTTCATCAGCTGTGAACAGCTAGTAAAGAGCAGAAATAAATAAATGGCTGCACGAGCGTGTGAGGTGCCCTTACCTTCTTTTTGAAGTGCCCTCTGTCCTCCTCTTTAGCCGCTTTGCTATTTTTCCCAGCTCTGGAGAGTTTCTGATCCCCAGACTGCTTGATGGTGATCTTGATCTCGGGTGGACAGATATAGTTCTCCAGGTTCTTTGGGGGCTTCTTAGCTCTCTTGGTGGTCTGGATTTTCAGTTTTAAACTCCCCTCTGTGAAGTTTGCTTCCTTGATGGAAAACTCCTGCTCCTCCAAGCCATCCCCGGCCACCCATTTCTCGCTGTCTGCATTGGAAGTGGAATCCACATCTCTCCCAGAACCCAGCTCATCCTCTTCCTCTGGCTCCATCCTTTCTCCACTCACTGGGATCCCTTTCCCGGAGCCTGAAGCAGGCAATATGGTTTCCCCCGCGCAGCTGGAAGCAGGTGGAGGCTTTGCAGAGGCAACAGTAGCTGGCAAGAAATCCGCCTCGCCTCCCCTTTGCCGGGAGCTGCCTAAGGTCTCCCGTGGCTCCATGGCAATCCCACAATGCACGGGAGTTTTATAGGAGGGAAAAGGGGAGAGGGGAAGGTGATGAGAAGAAGCAGGGAGGGCAATCCCAGGGACTGAACGATAACTGTCTGTAGACTTTTAGAGGCCCAGTAGTCCAGACACTGCAAAGAGCTCAGAAGAGATCAAATCTGCAACTGTTGAAAAAAAGAAAGCAGAAAAAGGAAGTCAGGACTTACACGTGTATCAAAACGCAACCGGAGGAGTGGCCGAAATAGAGGCGTGCCGGGCTTCCCCCACTCCAGCGTGTACCAAGTGCCTTCTGGAAGCCCTGAGCATCTTCAGAGAAGCAAATGGAAAGTTAACCATGCGCAGGACCATTCACCATACTAGAGGACAGGTGGTGTTTGAAGCAAAAAGGGATCACAGTATATACACCGCACTTGAGACGAATTGGATAAACACATAGAGAGAGAACAAAGACATATATTTCCTATATACAACTTCAGAAATAAATTCTTTATGGTAAGGGTTGCCAAAATCTGGAACGGGCTTCCAAGGGAGGTGGTGCTGTCCTCTACCTTGGAGGTATTCAAGAAGAGATTAGACCGGCACCTGGCTGGGGTTACTTAACCCCGGTGCTTTTTCCTGCCTAGAGCGGGGGGTCGGACTTGATCTACAAGGTCCCTTTCGACCCTAGAAATCTATGAAATCTAGTTGCTTAGATTGGGACTAGAATGGAGGTGGGAGTGGGGGGATTACTGTCCCATAAACATTTCCTGGATCTCAAAATATTTCCCAATTCACATTAAGATTAAACCAGAGCCCCTTTAAAAATTACTAAAGACCTTCCCACCTGAGTTTAGCCAAGAGTCCAGCGGAGTTAGGACCCTAACTCAAGATATTTGGCCTCCTCTGAATCAGACAAATCCTTGACGAATGCCTGAGCTGTGGCATAAATATTTTTTCTGTGCTGGAGCTCTCAAAGTGTGTTGCTGGAACGGCACCACTTCATATAAATAGATAAATGTCCACTTGAGTAAATACAGACTAGCTCTCACCTGGAGATTAGGGCACACTCAGCTGCAATGGCAAAGATGGGGGCACTTGAAATTAGTGTCCATCATATGGTATGGGACAGACCCTACTGTTAAGGGCTCTACAGGAAACCCTGAGGCCAACCTTTTTGACAAGGAGTAGTAGCAGCAGGTACTTCCGTGTTTGGAGGCCCAACTGGAAACACCTTCAAAAGACCTGGTTTTTAGAAAGTGCGTCTGTTCTTTAAAAAAAATCAGTTGACTTAAACTGGGCACCTAAAAGTAGAAGCCCCCAATCACTATCCATTTATTAAACTTTTGGCTTGAACTTACAGGAAAATTGCCAACTTTTCTATAGAAACAAAACAAAAAAAAATCTGCACTTTTCATGCAGCATTACGTAAGGATCCGTTCAAAAGCCAGGCATACAGTGAATAATACACGTGGGAATCGACTGCAATCAAAATCTTAAAGCAAATAGGGATTTCCTAGCCCACGCTCAACGCTGTATAAGTGAGACGGGGAAACAGCACTGTTGCCAGCCACCACATTAGGATGGCATCATTAGCAGGTTCCCTGGACATGGTCCACTATCGTGTTGTCATCGAGACACCATTCACCAGGGGAAATCACAGATGCTCTTTGTGGCGACTGCAATTTGCTCAGCTCACTTTTTCTACTCTTTAAGTTCCTTGCTTGACTTTAGCTTCAGCAGACACCTCCTCCCAGTTACATTGGGATTTTATGGGACTATGGAGGGAGATCACCCATTTGACCAAGGTCTACACAGCTAGTGACAAAGCGCTTGTTAGACTCAAACTTCGTGAAAATGTTCGGTGCCCTCAAACCGGATCCCAGTAGACCCGAAGTCACAAAAAAAGCAATGTAAGTGATAGAAAACCTGCAATACTATCACTGTGACCTGGTTAAGGCCGGCATTTGTACACGTGAGGGGGGTTTAGTCCTTAGGGCTGCATTATATGCCCCCTAAATTGAAACGGTGAGTTTTTAATTGAAACCCACCATTTTAATTTAGGGTTTTCTGTCACTGTTACGGCGAGAGGCTCAATCCTTTTTTTTGGCGGAGCCTGCCCACAGCTGGGGGGCGAGCTACTGGTGGGCCAAGTGGTCCCTGAGCTGTGGGGGGCCCTGGTCCTTCCCTCCACAGTGGCGGTGCCCCCTGGGGCCACCTGGGCAGGCTGCTAGCAGGCCAGGTGCTGCCCCAGATCAGAGGCAGCACCTAGCCTGATCCAACTCTTCGCTAGCGTAGCACCTGGCTTGCTAGTAACTCAGCCGGGCGGCCCTGGGGGGCACTGCCACTGCAGAGAGAAGGAGCGGGACCCCCTGAGCCTCAGCGGCTGCTCAACCCACCAGCAGCTCGTCTCCTGGCAGCAGCAGAAGTGGGCAGGCTCTGCCAAAAAAAAGAAAAAGTATCAGGCCTCTTGCTGCTTCTGCCTTCAGCACGTGCCTGCTGAAAACAGAAGCAACGAGGGGATGGATCCTTTTTTTTTCTGTGGAGCCTGCCCGCCTTTCCCATGGCTGGAGAGTGAGCCGATTTAATAGCTGCAAAGCACTGTTGCAAACTAAACTACGTCAGGATGCAGTTTAGTTTGCAATGATATAAACTCATTAAAAACCTCTAAAACCCCTGCACACGTACAGCGCAATGCCATTACACTCCACAAAGTGACGTTTTTGTCACCTGCACATGGTAATGGTGTCATGTGTACAAGCGCCCACAGTGGTTTCTCTGGCTCATGAAAGGGGAACATTGGTAGGGCAGCATAAGGAAATACTCAAGTTGCATCTTTTCTGGGAATAAAGACCGGGACAGCAGTTTCCAGGGCTGTTGTTTGCTGGCCCTCACACAGCATTAACTGAAACGGTTTGGAGGAAAGTGCGCAGGGTTGAGCAGCAAGCAGACATGAGTTCTAGTTCTGATTTTGCCATTGGCTCATGGTGCAATCTCTACCTCCTCTCATTTTCATGAAATGGCAGATAACAGTCCTTGCCTTCCTAAAACCCATTTGCTGAGAAGCTACATTAATTAATGCCTGTACGCTGCTTTGAACATGGCGACTTACCCAAATGCTGGGTGCTCTAATTGCCACGCTAACTCTGCCTGATTGTTTTTATAAAGTGTGGAACTGCTCCACCTAGTTAACTCTTGCACCTCACCTTACACTGCGTCCAAACCAGACCTAAGGGATACCTCCTGTTTCCATCCAAGCCACTCAAATGAAGAGACCTTATTTTTCTGACATTGTTAATCCTGGTAGACAGGGACACAGTGTTCGCCAGCAATAAGTACTGCAACATAAACACAAGGTGGTAAAGTGCTGCTGTGCAGCATTCCAGCAAGTTACTGCTTTGGTATGCACGCATGTACAATGGGCACTCTGTAATAGGCCTCCGCCCACAGGACGTTAACCCCTTTCATTGCTGGCACAAAGAGCAAGCAGCTTCTCACAGAGGCCATCTATGTGAGAAAACAGGGCGCTAGGATGTGCCAGTTAATACTAGGCAGCAATGGAGAAAAATAGCTGCAGCTAGCTCTCGGCAAACAAAAGGTTAACGCAGATCCAACATCAGGGCCCAACTGGGTTCCGAGCACATCCCTGGACCCAAACATTAGGAAGCTAATAATTTCTGGAGGCTACAAAGGAGAAAATGTAGGCTCATATCCCAAAGTGGGGATCCAGTACCGTAGCGACAAAGTTTGGCGCTCGGGGCAAGCCCACAGCGGAAGCCCGCCCTCGCCTGGCACACAGGTCTGGGGGGGCACACGCCCCCCCCCCATGCTTGCCTTGGGGTGTATGCAGCAGCAGAAGCTGCCCGTCCCTGTGCCCCCCGAAACAAGCCACTCGTGGCTCCGTCCCGCACCCTGCCCTGGCTGGGCAGCGCCTATTGGCCCTCTTTTGCTTCGGTGCCCATGGCATTCGCCCTCCACTTGCGATGGCACTGTGTGGATCCAAGCGTCTGTTGCAGGCCTGTTTCTGATCTAAGTGAAATCAGTTGAAATCAAGTGTAGCACATTACACTGCCTAGAAACAGGGTAAATTAGGCCAGTGAGATCCTAAAGAAGACTCCAGACTTCATCTTGTTAGAGCATGCAAATCACGATATCAAAAGACCTAGAGGAATAAACACACAATGAGGCACCAGTAGCTTCGTGCAGGAATGAAATGGGTCATTGGTTAACCTTTTTCATTATTCTGCTACAGGGTTAAACGTTAAGTGACTTGGGTGCTGAGACACCATACTTGTCTTTCTTGTTTGGGCAGCCTACATATGCTTTGACTAGTTAAGAAACCTCACTTCGGGCTCCTGAATAAGTAGCCTCCTGAGTAATTCCCAACCTCTGGGCCTTCCCTCAACTTCAGGCATGTCAGTGTTGTGGGAACAATTTCAACTTTTAAAGCGTCAGACTCGAAGAAGAAAACACGAGACATGCTAATGGGAGATACCATAGAAGTGGCTCCCTCAATGGGAGCTGTGTTATTTCAAGTGAAGAGACAATACCCTTTTGTTAGTCTATCCTTAAAGCCTCACAAACAAAGAGCCAAGGTTATGGGCTTCTTCAGGACTGAAGAAAATAACACTAGAGTCCAGTAAAAAAAAAAAAATAAAGTTTTAAATAACTCCCCGCACCCCCACCAGTTTTAACAATGAATCCCTCGAGCAATATCCTGGATACAAATGGTCCAAGTCTGAGTCCTGGCCTTAATTTTGTGGCTTGGGCCTGCTTCTATGTGTTGTTTTCAGGTTCACATGCCTGCTTTCTTCCTTGCTTCAGCTGGGGCTGCAAGTGAAAATGCCAATGTGATTCACTAAAAGGTTTTCCTCTCTCTCGCAGTTCTTCTGCCCTAACTGGCAATGTGCAGCATGGGAAATCTAGCGAGAAAGCGTATTTTCCAAGAGATTTCCAATCCTATTTTACACTCCCAGACCCAAGTAACTGGGCTAGCTCAGACTCTTAAGTGTTTAGCTAAACTCACCCTCTAGACTTGTTGAGTTTCCCAGCACTAAGTCCTGTTTGCTAATCTATTACAGATGCACCATATCTTCTGAAAGAGATTTCCAGTGGAAAGTGCAATGACTAGCAAGGCTTCCTGCAGCCAAGTTGATTTGGAGGAGGATCATTCACAGGTGAATGACAAAAGTCTCCCAGGACTTGGCATTAGGT